TTTGTGTTTAAATACTACTTTCACTCAGCCGTTTTCTCCTCCTCCTCCTCCGCGCTCAGCTGCGCGGAGTTGAGCAGTTTGTTCTCCTTTTTCCACTTCATGCGCCGGTTCTGGAACCAGATCTTGATCTGGCGCTCGGTGAGGCAGAGCGAGTGCGCGATCTCGATGCGGCGCCGCCGGGTCAGGTAGCGGTTGAAGTGAAACTCCTTCTCCAGCTCCAGCGTCTGGTAGCGGGTGTAGGTCTGGCGGCCTCGGCGGCCGCTGGGCCCRAACGACGAACCTGGGACACCCGCAGAATGAAAGAAAAAGAGGGGGAAAAAGAGGAATGAAAAACAGAGAGGGAAGGGACGGGGTGAGGGGATCCCGGGTATTACTGGAGGCGCGGGAATCTAAGCGCTTGCTGCCTCGGTCCCCCACTCTGCACTGAGCACCCAGGGGCCGCTGAACAACCCGCAATCGCCTTCACGCGCGGGGCTCCTCGGGCCGCCCCGGCGCAGGCTCCGCGCAGGCTCCGCGCAGGCTCCGCGCCGAGCTCGGCCGAGCCTGTAGTCGGGCTGCGAGACAGGCCGAGATCTATCTTATTGCGGCATGAAAAATCGCAAGGTGTTCTCCCCCCCTAGACCCCCCCCCCCCACTATTTTCCACCCTACCGGCAACTGTAATAGATCTGAGCATTTAAGCAATAATGAAGTGAATCGATCTGCCCAAACTCTGCATTAAAGAGGACACAACACTTTATGTCCCTGCGCTAATGGACATCAATTTGGAACTTGAAAGACAACAAATACATCTAAACATGGAAAAGGGGATGGCAAGATAGTTTTTTTCTTTTCTTTTTTTTTTTTTCTTTCTTTTTTTTCCCCCCTGATTGAGGAAACAGCACTTAAAGAAGTAATATATCATCGGGGGAAAAAAAAAATCCCCAGGCAGACTTTTCATTATGTGCGGGTTTCATTAAAAATGTAACCCTCCCCTTTCAAATATTTAAACACTTTTATATTATTTAACTGCGGAGCGGGTAGCTTGCGAGAGATGCATTTGCGGGTGGGTGTGGAAACGTGCGCGTGTAAAGTCATCCAGATCTGGGCTAGGGGAGAGCTCCCTGTGCATGTGGGGGAAAGACAGAGATAAATCGTTGCAACTGAGTGACATGCAAACTGGAATGTGCAAAAAAAAATGTGGTGGGGAGAAATGTTGCATTCGGGTTTAAATACTGGGCAAAGTTTGCTTTTTTTTTTTTTTTTTTTTTTTTTTTTTTTTTTTTGAGAGGAGTGTGCTGTGAAAGTGGGAGACAGACGTGGGGTGAGGGGGAACCGCTCCGGGCACCTGAAGTTTCGGTGCGTGTCGGGAGCCGCTCGCCGCCTCTCGCCGTGCCCAACTTCCCCTCTGCAAGTTTGGGCTCTAACGTGAACCTCAGTCCTGCTCCGCGCGCGCGCTCGCTCCCTCTGGCGCGAACAAATAAGAAAGGGGGGGAGGAGATTGATTTATTTATTTCTGTAAAAGAGTAAACTCACTATTGCAAGAGTTCATCCGCTGCATCCAGGGGTAAACCGGCGCGGAACACTTTTGCTCCTCGCTCTCTCCGAACACACTTTTGCTCTGCGCGCAGTCCGACTTGCGCGGCTCGGGGGCGAAGGGCACCTCGTCCAGGTTGGAGGGCGCGCACGCAGGGTCCTTGTCGCGGAAAAACCCGCCGGCCCCATAGTCACACGCGGAGCCGCGGCCGTAGGCTCCGTTGCCTTGCTGGTAGTAGGCAGAGGACGCATAGCCCTTCTCCTGCACGCCCGTGCCGCCGTAGGTGCTGGGATAGTGCCTCAAAGGATCCGCATAGCCCGAGGGATATAACGGGATCTGTCCCAGGAAGGGCTCCTGCCCCGCCGCCAGACTCACCGGGAAGGTCGAGTTGACAAAATAAGAACTCATTGGAAGGAGCCTGCCGTCCTTTCCCGGCTTTATGATTTGTTGTGTTTTATAGTCCAAGTGGTTTAGCTATTAGTAGTATATCGGAGATTGGGTTTTAGCTGAAGGGAGATGGCGTGGTGCCAGCGAGGGACACAAGGAAATACAACCATCTGATCAGGGGCTGACCAATAGCAGGCGCCTGAGGTTGCAAAATAGCACCCATGAGGAGCTGAGATTGCACCAGGGACCCCAAGAACAAACCTTCCACCCCCTTTTCTCCCTCCCTCTTAAACAACAGAAAGGCACCCCC